GTATTAAATGTAATATAACGAAGCAGGTTTTTTTTTGTAGGTATCGCATTTAAATTAACGGAAACAAATAATGATATTATATTTTTCAGATTGTTTAAGGAAATCTGCCCGTGGTGAAGTCACAGTCAGATCACCAGGAACTGGGCTAATCACCATCAACAACAAGTCCATTGAATATTTTGAGCACATTCAAGACAGGGAGCAGGTAGGATGTACAGATTTTTATATACTTTTATCTTTTAACACATTTGAGGGCCAGCGGATCAGAGTGAGTCAGGTTTCTGTGATCTTTTTTTGCCAGAAATATCCTTTGTCTTATTAACTATGCTCCTCTAAGTACCGTCAGCTATTATTTCCGATATTTTCCATCTAAATGTCATGTAAAAGACGAAAAATATTGACATTGAAGTGATATGATGCCAAGAACACGGGCTGTTGAAGGATGGATGGTGTATTTTTCAAAGTTAATGACGATTAAGTTGCAATTAATTCCATTCTGGATTTTTTTTGTAATGATAGTGACATTGAATTAGGTGTTAGCAGTGATAATAGTATTAGTGAGAAAAGTGAGGTTATGAAATATAATAATAACAAGCTGGTGAGCATTAAATAGTTTAAGTAATCGTAATTGTTCCTTAGATGTTTCTCTCTACTTCAGCCTTTAAATTATTGGGCTATGTGAATTAGTTTAGGACTTATGACCTGTTTTTTTGTTAAAAAGGGTTTGTCTTGAAACTGGCTTGTCGTCAAAGTGCTAATTTAGATTTCAGTGTGTAGGAATTCGATAATATATGTTGCACATGACTGCGTAAAAATAACGTTTTTTCCCAGTGGGACAAAACTAATTTAAAACAATATTAAAATCAGCATAGTTTATTCAAAATATTTCAAAGAGCACTTCTGGGAAGATAAAACGTTGTGATACAGGCTTCAACACATGATGGCCCACCCTTTTCGAAATGTCAACAAGTTTACCGACGTTTCAGAGGCCCTTAGGCAGCAAGAACCTCTGAAACGTCGGTAAACTTGTGCCAGAGTACGTGACGCAACATCCCAGAAGACAAGACATCTTCGAACATAAGTAAGTTCGCTCTTGTGAGGACGGAAACAATCCGGTGAGAGAGAGTGAATGAACCTAACCTGTAACAGAGGTCATGTTGGAGAAGGGGAAATCCCAGGCTTGCCTGAGACGTCTAATTTCCTTGTCATGGACAGCTGCTTGGAGAAAAATAGTGATGACTTTTACAGTGGGAATGCGCTCGTGGAAACGTGTGAATTCTTTTATTAATTCTTGTCCAGTGATTCAAATGCGAGGAGGTTTACGAGGCCGTTAGATTGCGTTCGAAAATGAAATCTTGCGTGTTCTGAAGGAGCGTAGCTTTCTGACTGGCAGTGAGCAGCCAGTTTTGAAGAAGAAATGACATCACGCCATTATCGGTCGAGGACAACTGCTGAACTTCCAAATTTGAACAGGTAAGTGAGTCCTTTGTTTCGTTACGTTAAACTGCATGCGTAGACTAGAATATAATTTGTAGCTTGTTGTCACGGGACAGTGACGGGATCCGACAGTAATAGGTTTTTTATTTCTGAATTGTTGTATTAAGCGGAGGGTGTCGTGACTTTTTCATCATTCTATATAACATGTTAACATTGCCTTTCTTCTTCTTTTAAAATTACAGTTACTGCAGTGACCTGTATACAACAGGTCGACAGCGTGAGTCATTTGCTTGCTGTCTCGGTACGTAACCTTTTCGTCCGATATCCGGCCTCCCAGAAGGGTGACCAAGTTTTTAGTTGTTACCGATTCTGGTGGCCCCATCGCACGCTTGTGTTTGCGTGTTCGAATCCCATTCGGATGTTTATTTTCGTATTTTCCTGCCTCCATCGCTGGCCTGTGGTGATATCGCCTACATTTCAGTAGTGAAGTTTATTTATTGTTGTATCATTTAACAGATTTACCGCCATTAACGTGTTATTCTTCAAGCGCGCAATGACATTTCCTCCGGTTACGCCGGACTCGACCGGAAACCAATTCCTCAACCTTGAAAGTTGGATGCGCCGGATGTATGTGAGGTTGGCTCTCGTATGAGGTAGAGGTTTCGCGTCGCGCATCCTCCGGCTTACATCCATCAATTTCTGTGCATCTGTCCGTGTCGCAGTCGACTGATTAGCAACAGTTTTGGCAGTGTTTACGAGGTCGGAGGTTGAATATCGATCCGGAGACCGGCTGCCTCGAATAATATGTTTCGTGGTTTTCCTCGGTCTCTTTTAAGATAATACTAGGATAGTAGGCCTAACGTAAATTAGGCCACGACTGTTTTTTACGTATTATTTCCAATTTATTATCCAGTAATTACAATTTGACGCCATATAATGCGAGTTATTGGCGCTGTTTTTTTTTAAATAACAGAGAATAAAGACTTGGCGTTTGCTAATTCGCAACTTTTCCGTCTCCGTGGTTACAGGCCGTCGTGTTTCGATTCTTGGTGCAACCCTGTCTCCGCTCTAAATTTGTGGTCCTGACGTGCTCTTGCTGTGTTTATCGTTTGTCCGCCCAGGTTTATAATTATCGTCTGATCGATGTATTTTTTCTTTTCCCGTCCGACATCCATTCCTCGATTTGTCTTGTGCTTCGCCCCACGTATTTTAGGCGTTTCCCGATGAAGTTCTCTCTCTTGCCTGAATTAAGCACCAGCTGTGCAGAAGGTGACCAGACAAATGCGCACACGAAAACTGCGCAGACGTATGGAAGAATAGAGGAACAGTCACCAGATGGCGGTCTGGATGTATACACGGCTTTACCGCTCTGGAGGACAGACATCGGCTCAGTGCGATCCTCCGATGTTTTGCACATTCTGTTGTTGCATCAGCCGATCTGACAACAGATTGGCTACTTTCATTTTCTGACGCGCGTATTTAGCGAGTCAATTTACAGTGAGTTTGCTGCATAACAGCCTTCACATTTACTCTTGGCTAAAAGTTCCACTTCCTCCTTTACGGTACTCTGAACGTTCATGGCCATGTTCACAAAACCTCACCGTCAGACCCAGCCCTAGTTCTGAACCCGTTCAGTCCATAGGTAATTTTTCCTCACATAAATCGGGCGAATGATATAATAAGTTATCGAACAATCTAATAGACTTTGGCTCGGCGTAAGCTGGCCGGAGCTTGAAGCTGAGCTTTCCCGGTACTGCCAGGGTCCACAAAGCAGCGGGTTTTACGCTTTGGCACAATCTGTTTCCTGAAACTCGTTGTTCCCTCCTGTTTCAAGATGCTTCCTGTCGAGGTCTGGGATTCTGTAGTTCGCTTCCCTTGAGACCGGAAATAGTGACAAAGTTGAATGTACTCTTCCTGCGTCTTAGATCGCTGATGCAGTAAACGTGAGGTTCTCACGGCAGCGAGTTTGAAGGAAGGCTGCCTTCTGGGACGTTGCACCGAGTAGTCCGACAGAAATTGACCCGATGTTTCGGAGGTGCTTTCTACGTCCTTCGTCAGGGCTATTAAATTTTAATTAATCATTGTTGTCATCATATTGTTTGTCCTTTTCGCATTTATTGATGATATTGCGAATGGATTAAGCCTATATTTTCTGTTTTTATGCTTTTTGAGTGCGTAAGTGTAATTATAGACTTCAGTTTTACCCTTTGACGCCTATTGGTAATTATGTATACCACCTTTAACAGATAACTGTATTTTTGGTTTTATGGTTTTCGTGTGATTCTCAGAAAAAACAGCGATTTCCACTAAACTGCTTCATCGTTGTCATGGAGACGGGTTGTGTTTTCTTTAAGGTACGGACTGGATTCTTGAATATTTACGTGAGCTTTGACTTCGAGGTGTTTTTTTTTCCCTTGTTGATCTCGTATAAATGTACAGACCCAAGACTATTTTGTTGTAAGAGAAAGTTAAAATCGCTGCGTGGTTCTTTGTATCGAAAAGACTTCAGTTCTTTCAGACCACAGGCTAGAGGCTGGACTGAATCTTAATTACCCGTAGATGACGAATAACTCGAGAGGAAAAATGTTGGTGGGGAATCCCCAGCTGTCCGTTCCCACTTGCTGACGTAACTGCCTTACAAGCAACGATGAATAATTTTGATTCTGTCAAGGTTTTAGATCACTCCGCACTGCCCACTGGCTGATGGAATAGTAATGTACCGACGTTTCGGGTATTTGTTCTGCTTCTGTATTCAAATGATTGGTTGTCTTTATATTGGTATTGTCATTCTTTTGTGTCGATATTAAATACCTCGGTTCGGATATATTTGAATACTGAACATGAGTAATGTAATTGTTACCGTACAAGTTACAGATACATTTTAAGATTATAATCCCAACCACTTCTGTGTCCCCCATTCTCCCTTGAATCTTCTTTCAAGTCTTCCGATAAGCCCCCTTTTCGGAGGCTTGGGGTGTGATTTATTTGCTGTTTCTACCGTGGGGCGCTGTGCCTTCGTTACGGGTGTCCTGTCTGCATCTGCCGGCATTTTTATTTTTCTAGGCAATGGATTTATAGGAGAGTTTGACAGTAGTTTGCTCTGTTGTCCGCTGTCCACTTTCATTCTTGAGAACAGTGACGCACTTGCTGACACAGTCTGTCGTCGTGTTCAAAGTTTCACAACTGGATGTAACAGTTCGATGCTAATTATGGCTTTGGAATTCAGAAGCAGATGACGCGGCCCCGAGAGGCAAGTGTTTATGGCGTGTGCCACTCCTTTGGTTTTGGTTGAAATCGTACGTCCCGGTCACGATGTGACTTCGGGAATCCCCCGGTTAGGTGCCACGTCCACACAACGCC